TGTATGGCTTACCCAAATTTCACAAGGCTGGTTGTCCAGTTCGTCCGATTTTGTCCATGTGTGGTTCACCGCAGTACAAAGTGTCGAGGTGGATTTGTCGTTTGTTACAGCCTGTTCTCGACATGTACAGTACATATGTAGTCAAGGATAGTTTTGAGTTTGCCGACTTTTTGCATGATCACGAATTCCCGGAGACATTCTTTATGTGCTCGTTTGATGTTGTGAGTCTTTTCACGAACGTACCTTTGGATTTTACGATTGATATCTGCTGTGATGCTATGTACCGTGGTAATGTAGGTTCTCCTGTTACTATCGAAGAGACGTACTTTCGCCGTCTTATGAATATGGTTACGTCTGGCGTTGATTTTTCGTTTGAGAATGTTATGTATCGTCAGATAGATGGTGTCGCGATGGGTTCACCGTTGGGTCCAGTTCTTGCAAATATATGTGTGGGTTACTGCGAATCATTGGTCCCCAAATGTAAATGGCCTGCGGTGTATTGTCGTTTTGTTGACGATAGTTGGTCCTACTTTCAGTCTCGGAACGACGCGCAGGAGTTTCTTGAATTATTGAATAAGCTGCACCCGTCACTGAAGTCTACTTGTGAGTTTGAATCGGCTAGTAAATTGTCCTTCTTGGACGTTCTTGTAGAGAAGTCTGGTATGGGTGGTGTAATTACATCAGTGTACCGGAAACCAACGTTCACCGGCTTGTACATTGTTTGGGACTCGTTTATTGCGAGGTCGTACAAAATTAATCTCGTTCGTAATCTAGTGGATCGTGCTCGTCGATTATGTTCGCCTTCAAAGTTGGATGAGGAGCTGGAGCGGCTACGCACTTTGTTTCGTTTAAATGGGTACCCGGAATATGTGATATCTAAATATGTCGTAGTTAGTACACTGGGTGGAGCGAAGGAAGTGTCCTCCGAGGCCACTCCGGTGTATCTTCGTTTGCCTTGGAAGGGTGAAGCTGTTTGCCGTACCATGCAACGTCGAGTGAAGTCAGCTGTAGAATCGAACTTTCGTAATGTTAGTGTCCGGTTCGTCTACACAACAGCTCATGCCTTCATGGTGAAGAAGGATGTCCTACCCACTCTTAAATTATGATTGATAATTTCGCGGTCCGGAGACCACGGAGGTCGACTGCAAATTATTCAACCGTAGTATATGCTAGAAATGGCCTAGGCCCACGTGGAGCATTGAAGGAGAACAGAAGCCAGAAGCTAAACGGAACACAATCTCGAGACAGGGATGAACTAAGGACAGTGGGACGGGACAGACGTGAAAGAAAGTGATTAAATTTGGAAAGGATTGGGAGAACTTCAAATTCAAAGCCAATCCTTTCCAAATTTAATCACTTTCTTTCACCTCTGGTAGTTTCCAGAAACTGACCGTGGTTGGTCCCCTGGGGGAGGGAAAAAGACCCAAGTGCCATCAGTATGTGTGGCACGTGTTGTGAGCTGCCTTTGGAGTGAAAAACTTGTCAGCGCCATCTAGGTTCAGCCTGGTCCCATAGCTCAGTGGTTAGAGCATTGCTCATGACAAGCAGGGTCCCAGGTTCGAGTCCTGGTGGGTCTGGCGTTTTTTTTCTCTTTTCAGGCAGTTCACTTCCCCGACTGATCCTTTGAATTTGAAGTTCTCCCAATCCTTTCCAAATTATTATTATTATTATTATTATTATTATTTGGAAAGGTTTGGGAGAACTTCAATTTCAAATGATCAGTCAGGGAAGTGAACTGCCTGAAAAGAGAAAAAAACGCCAGACCCACCAGGACTCGAACCTGGGACCCTGCTTGTCATGAGCAATGCTCTAACCACTGACCTATGGGACCAGGCTGAACCCAGAAGGCGCTGACAAGTTTTTCACTCCAAAGGCAGCTCACAACACGTGCCACACATACTGATGGCACTTGGGTCTTTTTCCCTCCCCCAGGGGACCAACCACGGTCAGTTTCTGGAAACTACCAGAGGTGAAAGAAAGTGATTAAATTTGGAAAGGTTTGGGAGAACTTCAATTTCAAATGATCAGTCAGGGAAGTGAACTGCCTGAAAAGAGAAAAAAACGCCAGACCCACCAGGACTCGAACCTGGGACCCTGCTTGTCATGAGCAATGCTCTAACCACTGACCTATGGGACCAGGCTGAACCCAGAAGGCGCTGACAAGTTTTTCACTCCAAAGGCAGCTCACAACACGTGCCACACATACTGATGGCACTTGGGTCTTTTTCCCTCCCCCAGGGGACCAACCACGGTCAGTTTCTGGAAACTACCAGAGGTGAAAGAAAGTGATTAAATTTGGAAAGGTTTGGGAGAACTTCAATTTCAAATGATCAGTCAGGGAAGTGAACTGCCTGAAAAGAGAAAAAAACGCCAGACCCACCAGGACTCGAACCTGGGACCCTGCTTTTAATGAGCAATGCTCTAACCACTGAGCTATGGGACCAGACTGAACCCAGAAGGCGCTGACAAGTTTTTCACTCCAAAGGCAGCTCACAACACGTGCCACACATACTGATGGCACTTGGGTCTTTTTCCCTCCCCCAGGGGACCAACCACGGTCAGTTTCTGGAAACTACCAGAGGTGAAAGAAAGTGATTAAATTTGGAAAGGTTTGGGAGAACTTCAATTTCAAATGATCAGTCAGGGAAGTGAACTGCCTGAAAAGAGAAAAAAACGCCAGACCCACCAGGACTCGAACCTGGGACCCTGCTTGTCATGAGCAATGCTCTAACCACTGAGCTGTCAGTGCTTTAGACGCTGCCATCGTCCAGCAAAGAATCATCCTGGTACAAGATGATCTAACGCAGCGGCATCCACACAAAGCAACGTCACCTCACAATTAACTAGACCACCGGAAAAACAACCGGACAAGACACTTACTGGCATGGCAGTGACAGGAACTGCATCAACTAGAAGAATGACAAGATCGGCAACGACGGCAATGGCAGCAGGAGCAGTCTGAAGAACAAATTGCCTGACCCCACCAAGACTCGAACCAGGGACCCTCGCTTGTAGCCAGCGATGCTGTAACCACTGAGCTATGGTGTAGTGGCCATCCCAGCAGAAACCGTTCAACATTTTCTTCAGACTTCGAAACTCACACTTTGTGTGAATCTATACAGGCTGGTGGGACGCAGCCCTCACTGTAATCCACACACTCCACCTACAAACTAGCACGCAATATTCTTCCAAGATCATACATCCTATCCAAATTCTACTTTGTTTTCCCGTGGCCGTCCGCAATTGCGGTGGATAGATACGATTCGGCACGACCTGAAGGCAGCGGATCTCTCCGTGGAGAGCGCTCTCCAAGCTGCAGGAGATAGACTAACTTGGCTTGACACTGTTGACAGATGCGTCGACTCTGCTCCTGTCTAACAGGTTCAGGGAAGATGCGAGCTGTGTTTATTATTATTATTTCCCAGAGATTTGGACGATAATCAACTTGTTCACCTACCTGACGGGCTGTTCAAAGCCACAACCAAATTACAAAAACTGGAAGTCATGTTGTGAATGTACCGTAAAAAGGCGTTTTTGTCGTAGTTCTTTTGAGATGTAGCAAATGGGATTTCGGGATATGGCATCTCGTTGATTGATCTCATGTACCCTTTATGACCCGAAGCTGACGCCGCCCGTGGAAGACTTTTTCCAGGTAGAACTCCGTGTTGGAAGCAAAGAGCTGAGATAGTGTCTTTACAAGTTCCATGTGATCCACACACTCCACCTACAAACTAGCACGCAATATTCTTCCAGGATCATACATCCTATCCAAATTCTACTTTGTTCTCCCAGAAATTTGGCCTATAATCAACTTGTTCACCTACCTGACGGGCTGTTCCAAGCAACAACCAAATTAGAAGAACTGTAAGTCATGTTGTGAATGTACCGTAAAAAGGCGTTGTTGTCGTAGTTCTTTTGAGATTTGGCAAATGGGATTTCGGGATATTGCATCTCGTTGAATGATCTCATGTACCCTTTATGACCCGAAGCTGACGCCGCTCGTGGAAGACTTTTCCAGGTAGAACTCCGTGTTGGAAGCAAAGAGCTGAGATAGTGTCTTTACAAGTTCCATTGCGCATTCCTTCAAGAAAGAAACTACACCAATCGATCGATATCGATCGATGGGGTCACAAAGGGTTAATTATTGTTTGCAACCACACAACAAGCCGACCTGGGAGCCATTACGCGTTGTATTACCAGGAGATAGGCAACAATTGCCGCATACAATATGCAATATTCTGGTCCAATGCCAGAGCTAGTATTGCAAGCACCGCTGTGCGTTAGTATGGCCAATGCCGACACTAACTGGGGCAACAATTGCCCGGCGAGAATCTAGCACTGCGTACACATGACACAATCGAACAAAATCATCTGAATACACAGCACAACAATCAGGATGCTCAAACAAAATGACTAGCAATGGACGACTCATACATCAGAAAAATCAGCATGTGCGGTGGACACAACCGATACCAAATGGCTAGTCGTGTGGACCCTAGCCATTGCCGCTGTCAGTGCTTTAGACGCTGCCATCGTCCAGCAAAGAATCATCCTGGTACAAGATGATCTAACGCAGCGGCATCCACACAAAGCAACGTCACCTCACAATTAACTAGACCACCGGAAAAACAACCGGACAAGACACTTACTGGCATGGCAGTGACAGGAACTGCATCAACTAGAAGAATGACAAGATCGGCAACGACGGCAATGGCAGCAGGAGCAGTCTGAAGAACAAATTGCCTGACCCCACCAAGACTCGAACCAGGGACCCTCGCTTGTAGCCAGCGATGCTGTAACCACTGAGCTATGGTGTAGTGGTCATCCCAGCAGAAACCGTTCAACATTTTCTTCAGACTTCGAAACTCACACTTTGTGTGAATCTATACAGGCTGGTGGGACGCAGCCCTCACTGTAATCCACACACTCCACCTACAAACTAGCACGCAATATTCTTCCAAGATCATACATCCTATCCAAATTCTACTTTGTTTTCCCAGAGATTTGGACGATAATCAACTTGTTCACCTACCTGACGGGCTGTTCAAAGCCACAACCAAATTACAAAAACTGTAAGTCATGTTGTGAATGTACCGTAAAAAGGCCTTTTTGTCGTAGTTCTTTTGAGATGTAGCAAATGGGATTTCGGGATATGGCATCTTGTTGATTGATCTCATGTACCCTTTATGACCCAAAGCTGACACCGCCCGTGGAAGACTTTTTCCAGGTAGAACTCCGTGTTGGAAGCAAAGAGCTGAGATAGTGTCTTTACAAGTTCCATGTGATCCACACACTCCACCTACAAACTAGCACGCAATATTCTTCCAGGATCATACATCCTATCCAAATTCTACTTTGTTCTCCCAGAAATTTGGCCTATAATCAACTTGTTCACCTACCTGACGGGCTGTTCCAAGCAACAACCAAATTAGAAGAACTGTAAGTCATGTTGTGAATGTACCGTAAAAAGGCGTTGTTGTCGTAGTTCTTTTGAGATTTGGCAAATGGGATTTCGGGATATTGCATCTCGTTGAATGATCTCATGTACCCTTTATGACCCGAAGCCGACGCCGCTCGTGGAAGACATTTCCAGGTAGAACTCCGTGTTGGAAGCAAAGAGCTGAGATAGTGTCTTTACAAGTTCCATTGCGCATTCCTTCAAGAAAGAAACTATACCAATCGATCGATATCGATCGATGGGGTCACAAAGGGTTAATTATTGTTTGCAACCACACAACAAGCCGACCTGGGAGCCATTACGCGTTGTATTACCAGGAGATAGGCAACAATTGCCGCATACAATATGCAATATTCTGGTCCAATGCCAGAGCTAGTATTGCAAGCACCGCTGTGCGTTAGTATGAGTACGGTACCATCAAGAGAATGAGTATATATGCGAAGTGTATCGGGGGAATGCATTCAGTGCAGTAACAAAAATTGTGTGGATTTGTGTGAAATTATCGACCACAACTAAAAACTACGCGGTCTTCAGACCCCTGTTGTAGCGCGATTTCCTGGCCTTTTCGTGGAGACAACTAGAAGACTGTATTTACTTATTGGTTTCAACCATACTCTCAAATCAACCAGAAAACAACAACAACAACGATCGCCAAATCGCTGCCATCAGCAAAACGTGCCCGCGTGCGTGCATTGGCTTACGTGTACTGCAGTGTGCGTGCATGCATATCGAAGTGTACGAGTAGAAAAGCAGAATGATCATGCATGATGGTAGCGTGGTCCCACCCACAGTAGATACATGTGATATTGTGCACTGTGGTGTTGAGTGATGCCGCTGTTGCCATGGCGCCCCGGCTTGGCTCTCTGGTGCCACTTTGGACGCTGGACACATAGGAACAGCGTTCCCCGGTTCGTATTTCTTCCCGCAACTGCCACAGGACTTCTTGCAACGAGAAGGACGCATCGCCTACACCTTTGCACACATCCAGGCGCACCGCCTTTGGCAGTTTCTGCAGAAGAATTGGGGCAAACATATCTCCATAGTGCTCGGTCTTCCGACCCATATTCTCCAGCGACCGCACGTGGTTCACTACACTGTCCAGCAATTTGCGGAGGCCCGACAGATCATGCTCATTGCTGATACCTGGCAGGTTCAGCAGGGCATCCATGTGCGCACTGATTATACGCTGCGGATCTCCGTACCGCTGCTCTAGACACTTGACTGCCGCTGCATAATTCGCCTCTGTGAGGCTCAAACCACTGATCACTGCTGCTGCTGCTCCGTAAACACTGCTATGTAGGTATGTGAACTTATCCGTATCTGTCAAGCCGCTATTGGAGTGGATCAGCGACTTGAACACATCAAAGAAATGCAGCCACTCCATAGCGTTGCCACCAAACTTGCCGAGCTCTAGTTTCGGCAGCTTCACTCTGGCAGAGCTGCCACTGGTCGACACTGACGACAGTGTACTCAACTGTGAGTTTGACGCTGACGACGTCAGGTTTTGTGTGAAATTTTAATTTTCGGCTATCACATTTCGTTAATTTCTTACTTTTTCGACGGGGTCCATGGACTAGAACACAATAACTTTTTTTTTTAGAAAACTGCCATTAAGCAGTTTTTATTGCTATAATCTACTTATTGGTTTCAACCATACTCTCAAATCAACCAGAAAACAACAACAACAACGATCGCCAAATCGCTGCCATCAGCAAAACGTGCCCGCGTGCGTGCATTGGCTTACGTGTACTGCAGTGTGCGTGCATGCATATCGAAGTGTACGCGTAAAAAAGCAGAATGATCATGCATGATGCATCGATGAGTCATACCACAACGTAACCATGGATATAAATAATGGTGACGCGATGGTGACAGCAAAGTTCCGCATACAAAAGCGCAGGTGCAACAAGGAAAAATCAGAGTGCAGAACAAACAGAAATTCAAATCGAAAGGAGATAAATATTGTGGAGATGAAGCAAATCAGTTTGGTCTGTCAGAGGGTGCTTGCGCCCAGAGACAGGGTGACAGCAAACCCTGTCAGAGAGAGTCAGTGTACAGAATAGGAATACATAGAACGCAGCACGCAGTGGAGTTGCTGTGGAGAGCGAGAATGCAAGCAACAACGTAAGTATTATCTATGCAACTGATTTTATCGGCGTATCCGACAAACACGCACAACAAACACTGTATTGTAACAACACACTCGTAAATGATGTTATCACAACAACACTCATTCTATTTCAGCGCAGTGTCCTGTCCAATCACACTCAAAATCACACTCGTAAATCTCGCACACTCCCTCCTTGACAACATGACAACTGACACTCATAAATCTCGCACAATTTGTGTGCGAGGCCGAGATCCTACTAGCAGGCTGGCTGGGCCGCCGGTCGACCAACCCGGGAATCGCATGCAGGCCGATAGCATAATAATTATAACGTATATACAGTCATGTAGATGTATAGCAGGGAGTCATATTATGTAAACGACTCCTGAGTGAATGGGGAGATTTTCTGAAAAAAAATTCGAAGTAGGGAGGCAAGTAAATGCAATCAGAATGGATGTTAGTTGCCGTCAGTATAATAATAATAAGAAGAAGAAGAACGCCCGTGATCGGCAGAGTCAGCGCCGGTCCCAGGAAACGTCAGGTCAGACATCCCGTTGACTCCAGAACGCCCGTGATCGGCAGAGCCAGCGCCGGTCCCATAGCTATGCAGAAGACGTTACTTGAACTTCAGTATCTCATTGAAACGTTTTTGCAAGACAATGATGTAGGTAATCAAAGGAAAAAGCATTTCCATCAGTTCTAACAGCATGCACGATGAGCTAGGCAACAAAGCATAGCGCAGGGCCCTGAGCTTCCAAGCTCTCTCGTTTTGGAACGCAACTTTGCGTACATGTAGTGATTTAGCCTACAGTTAGTTCACGAGTCATTTCGTGGGTTGTTTGTTTCTTGCGTTGCACCGTGCAAGACAAGAATTTGCACAACTGCACAAGAGTATTGACGTTGACTCTCAAAATGATTCTTGGTCGCCTTTTGTTTGTTTCTTCTAAGTTAGTTTTGACAAAGGGTATTTTCGTTTTGTCTTTTCTCGCAGTGTTTCCTTTCATTTCTAAGCCGCGACGCCGTCGCGTACTGCGGTACGATGGGTCACGTCAAGAGTACATAACCCCCCAGAGTGTGCAACTCCACTATGGGTGCTGTCCCGACAGAATTTCAAGTTGACGTCATTTTGATGATGCAATGCGCACTGTACACGGATTATCAGACGAATCCGGAACCTGTGGTTGACCGAAGCCGATCGATCCTGTACAAATTATTGCAAAGAAAAACGTGTGATGCGTTGACACCCGTACACATGTTGTAAATCACTGCTGCAAGGAGCATTGCGTCATAAATAATGACGTCAACTTGAAATTCTGTCGGGACAACAGGGTATGTGGGAGTTGCACACTCTGGGGGGTTATGTACTCTTGGTCACGTGCTGCCAATCTACTGCATTCTTTATTCACCAGTTTTCATGGCTACACTGCATGCATTGTATAATGACTCATAATTATGTTTTGCTCTGCGCTGAATCCCGTACTGGTGTAGGGCTTTTTCAGAGTTTGCTTTCGGTGAGGCTCGGCAAGTTTGGTTCTTCGAAAGGAAGAGAAAGAGCTGTCTTTTTGTTGTTTGCGAAATATCTATTTTACTACCACAAAGTCTTCCCGTTGCATGTGAGAACATGCATGACACCTAAGAACACGAAATTGATGTATATAACTTCCCCTTTGCAGACTTCCACTTCATATAGCATCCTGATGAGGGCAATTTGCCAAAAACGTTGAAAATGATTCTGAGAAATGAAAATGAATTTGCAGTGCCCAGGGAATGAGCATGTGTGCTCACCAATTCTCTTTGAAAAAAGAAGCGGCAATAAAAAGAACTTTCTCCGGTACACACCTGGAGGTTAAATAGCTCTTCTGTTCGGCTTTGTTGTTGTCATAAAATCCCATGAAAACGGAAATGGCTAGCAGCTTTTATCGGCAACAGACCACATACGCTAACGTATTGGGATACGCTAACGTACGAGGATATGTTACAAGCAAGGCAGGGATACTACACTATGTACATCTTATCCAAGTCATGGGGTGCATATATCGAAAAAGAGATTTTTTGGGTAGTTCTGTTATTTTGATATGCGGTAAATGTGTATAGCACGGTATAAAGAGTATTACGAGATTCTTCCGGGAAGTGATAATTATACATCCTATCCAAAATCTACTTTGTTCTCCCAGAGATTTGTTGGAGAATAAACTTGTTGACCTACCTGCCGGGCTGTTTGACGCGACAACCGAATTGAGAAACCTGTAAGTCATGTTGTGCATGTATCGTAAAAAGGCGTTTTTTTGGCGTAGTTCTGTTCTTTTAAGATGCGTCGAATGGGTTTTCGGGATGTGGCATCTAGGCATATGCGGATCATACCGGCAGAAAATTGGCAGAATTCGGTACTTTTTCTTGTAAATTTCATGCATGTTTGGTATGTGGATAAAGAAATGGAGCAAAATTCGACAAATTGCTCGCCATAAGGTTTGTATCGTTCTGCCAACTTCACTGCTTTTCGAGCAGAATCTGCCACCTTTTCGATGATTATCCGCCAGTGCCCAGTGGCATCTCGTTGGTTGATCTTAGGTACCCTTCCCCACTCTTTATGACCGATACCTGATCACGCTCACGAGTTGGTTGCAACCAACGTAAGCGAAAATGTGGATCTTCATCCACCCTGTACCGAAACCCGTGCAGAACCAAGAGCAGCCTTGTATCAGATACAGTTGTATGTAGACAGCTACGAAGGACCATCCATCTGCTAAGGATGATCATGGCCACTGCCGGTAGCCATGGAGTTTTGACATCATGGGGAAGCTTCGACACGCTAGCTGCTATTGCTATTCATTTTCCACTCTTCTTGCTCCTGGGTGCCATTGTCCTGATCTGTCAATGTCTGAACTGAAAAATAGCTACAACGAGATGTGAGGGCAGTGTGTTTCTTCTCATTGCGCCTGGTGGACGAATAATGAAAAAAAGTTCGCTCCTATTTGTTTGCAGCGTTGACAGCCTTGCTCTGTGACGACTTGCTGCTCTCCAAAATATGAATCATGCTTTCCTACGATTCCGAAATGTCATGTCAGTGTTTCAGGTTTACAAAACCAGCGAAAGATAGCGAAATAACAGCAGCGAAAATTACAAGAGGACAATTCCGGTATATGGATTTATATTGACAATGACCCTCCAGACATCTGTTTCTGTGGGGTTGGTGATGTGAGTGCAGAGTTTGGGTCGGCCAAGAGCGCAATGTGGCGGTGTGGTGTATTGCTCTTGATATTTCTTACCAATATCACTGTAATAATACTCATAACAAGGACACACTTCAGGCTCATTACAAACATCTTGAAAGTTTTTGTCTTCACAAGTATACTTTCAAGCCTTCTCATCAGGTGAAATACAGGCAAGGGAAAAGGAACAGGAACCTGTTCCTTTTCCCTTGCCTGTATTTCACCTGATGAGAAGGCTTGAAAGTATACTTGTGAAGACAAAAACTTTCAAGATGTTTGTAATGAGCCTGAAGTGTGTCCTTTTTATGAGTATTATCGCATTTTTGTCTCAGAGGAAACTGAATATCACTGTAGCCGATATATTCTTATATCCGGTCACTCAATAGCCGATACAGACTGTAGTTGTACACAACTCAATACAGAAGAAAAAAATTTCGCGTACAGATACCTCTGTATCGACCTGACGTCACTATCACATTATAGTCAGGCGTAAGAAAAAAACGTTCTCTTTGGCCTCAACTTCTTTGTTGTCCGGTTGGCCATAGAAGCCGTCGACTAGAGCGCAACATACAGCCCTAAACTGGTGACCCCACACGCTGCCCACTTCGGAGTTTGCCCGATGCGTGCCATCCCTGAGCTCTCGCCGCAGTTTCCTGCTCGTCTCAACTCTTGGGTTGCCGTCAATCGCCGGCCGGTAACATAAAACTTGAATCTCAGCATCATTCGACACTGGATCCGCCTCGGACTGCTAAAACCCTAAAACCCTAAATTGGTGACCCCCGACATGCGCTCTTCGGAGTTTTCATCATGCCATCCCTGAGCTCGGCTTGCCGCAGTTCCCTGCTCGCCTCAACTCTCGGGATCCAGTCAATCGCGGACTGTTGACTGTAAAACTTGAGCCTCACCATCTCGAAACTGAATCCAGCCTCGGAGCTAGTGTGGCCCCTGCCGACCTCCCGGCCCACCTGGATAACCCGCTATCCTGTCACAGCACATCGTTCAGTCGTCTTCGTCTTTTGTATTCATCCTGGCCTCAAACTGGAAATTGGCCACCTCCATCCCAAGTATCAGTTTGCAGGCATATGCCCGGCACAGGACTTGGAGGTACGCACGCCTCCATGAGGCCTCGCCTTACACGGCACGCCTCGCCCCAGTGTTTCCTGTACTCAGTGACTGGTACGTTGCAGCCGCCTCTTACATGATAACACTCCTCTGTCACGCATACATTTCCTCTTTTCTTTCTTTCCAATTCTGACACCCGCCTCTGTCATGCATCTCTCTCTTTTCCACTTTCTGCTTTCTGAGTTTTGTTTTGGTCTTTGCTGCCACGTTATCAACAAACTTCATACACGCAGCGCTCTCTTGTACATATTGTATTCTATTTTTGCCTTTCCGCCTTGTACATGCCGCGCTTCCTTTCTTTTCTCTCTTTTTCTTGTTTATCGTGCTTCGCGCCTCCCGGCCTCACCAATGGCGGGGGAGTACTGTAGCGAACTGACGTCACTATCACATTATAAGCATGCGCAAAATCATAAAACATTCTCTTAGGCGTCACCTTCTTTGTTGTCCAGTTGGCCTTTGTAGCCGTCGTCTAGGGCCCGACGTAAAACCCCTGAACCTCTACCGTCTACCTCCATCGATAGAGTGATTCTACTCTACCAGGAAGCCAAAAACGAACGCAGCCTAGAAGGCGGACTGGGGACCTGGGGATTCTCTTGGTGCTTCAATGGCTATCCGGGATGCATAGGAATCCCCCCTAGCACGTACTGACACTAGCTCCGATAATTCTTCCTTTCACGTTGGAATTAGACGTTCTTTTCCTGGAGAGCCCGAATCTCCTCTCGAAAGTCCGCAATGGTGGCTTCCTTTTTCTGTTCTTTGGAGGCTGTTAGACTTTTCAGGTCCGCAATATCTTCCACAAGAAGATGCACTGTCTCCCTTAGCTGATTCATGATCGCAAGCATCCTGATGCTGGCGGTTTGAGGGTCCATTGGTAGCCCAGTCTGTAATGCTACTCGATCATTTGGCTGGATTTTTTTCCCGGAGTGCTCCGACGAGCTGAACTCGGCTGAGGCTGGCCAAGTTCACATTGTTGGCCCTTGCTAGGCTTTCTGTCCCTAGCTATCCAGAATACCAAAATCTATGGTAGCCATACTCTCCCTGGGAGAGCGGGGAATTGGACGTAAAAGAACCTACAACTGCGTAGGGGAACGACGAAAACGATTTCATGCCCCAGGGGCTGCTGTGGCTGTCGACGTCAGCGAGAACATCTAGCGTGTCGTTGACGTACGCCTTGAAAAGTGTTGGTCCAAGAATGCTTCCCTCTGGGACTCCAGCGGTGGTCATGTACGTAGATAACGTACGCCTCCAACGAGGCACTGTAAGGAACGGGTGTCGAGGGACGAGGCCAGCCATCTCTGAAGCAGACCATTGATGCCTAGGCTACGCATCTTGTGGAGGAGGCCGACATGTGAGACACGATCAAATGCTCCTGTGATGTCCACAGCAAGGATACGCGCTGCCCTCCACAGCCCACAGCGCTTGCCCAGGCAGTTTGGAGAGCTTGCAAAGTGTCTGATGTTCCGAGGCCTCCGCGAAATCCAAACTGGTGCGACGTGAGCAGATGGTGGTCCTCAAAATGATTTTCGAGATTATGCACAGTAAGGATATGGGCCTGTAGTTGAGCGGGAAGATCGCTTGTGGATCAAAACCACGTTGGCCGTCTTCCACATCCTAGGTTGGACTCCAGACCGGAAGCATAAGGCAAATAACTTGGACAGTGGCTCTGCAAGGTTGTGAGCACATTCCTTAGGGACGCAAGCAGAAATACTGTCAGGCCCTGTAGCCTTGGAGACTTCGAGCTTTGCCAGGAGGTGGCGCACAGCCTCTGGGCGGAAGCGGATGGTGCAAAGAGGTTGAGCATCTGAGGGAGCAGGGTCCAGTAGGTCAGCCTCCACAAGGTCCGGACCGGCAACGCTACATTTCTTTGAGAAGAAGCGAGCAAATGCCTCGGCTTTCCCTGAGCTCGTTGCCCACTCGCGGCCGAAAGAGTTGACAATTAGGGGAATTTCTAGCTGTGTGCAGTTGCCAGCTGCGTTCTTCAACTTCGTCCACCACTGTTTGTCTCTGAGGGACCCAGTTGAGAGGCCGCCACAGAGGCTGTCCTCCTTTGCACGTCGTGATCGGAACTGAATGGCGATCGTTACAGTCACGGAATTGGTGAATGCCTGCTGAAGTGCTGGATCATAAGGGTGTTTTCTCCGGTCGCGCCAGCGCTTTTTCTTCTCCCTCTCTTTCTGGGTGCATTCAGGCGTCCACCATACCGGATCGGAAGGCCTCGTTTCCAGAACTTTGGATGGGACAAATTATGCAACAGCTTCAGTTATCGAAGCGGTAACTTGCTCACAGGAAAATTCCTCCGTGATGATATCACCCCATTCCACGCTGCGAAGGTGCGCCCTGACGCGATCCCAGTCTGCCCTGTTGTAGCAAAATACTGGTGGGGGGTTCACGTCTATGGAGCACATCAGAAACGTCTGAGAGTACAACTGCATGGTCAGATCGACCGAGGGGTGGAAGTGTACGTGTAGTTACTGGGGACGTGAATGTTGACATTATGAGCTCTAGCGGGTTGTCTCCACAGGTAACATGCTGAAAAAGAAGATGGGCAGCAGGTATCTTCGAGAGCCTCGCCTGCAGGCGTAGTTTTTGAGCTGTTCAACCAAGCCTGGTTGTGCACGTTGAAATCGCCAGCTAGGATAATGTGGGGGCCCTGCTGTCTAGCTTATGAGAGGATGGTGTCGGGATGGTCAATAGATGACTTGCACAAAGATTGTCTGGGTTCGAGACGGGGCAAGTGGACCTTCTGACTCTGACTTCCCCACCTTTTGAGTTCGTGACTTTCGAAGTTTCGCTTTTTGCCTGACGAACACTGAGCTAGTTTTTTTGGCTAGAGAGTAGAGTTGTTTTGATTCGGCTTGTATCGTCATGCCGAAGCGCTGCTACGCTCCTGAATGCACTAGCAGACGAGAGATGGA